CCCCCCAATCCTCACATGCAGAGCAGGGAAGGGGTGGTGCCAGGCTCCAGGCTCTAGGCCACTCATCTGGCCATGGGGCTGAAACACTGAGCACCACTACTTTAAAGCATTCTTGAAAGCTAATATTTTATAGACAGGAAAAAATTCTCTCTTTTTTTGGAAGAGCTGAGGTTTCTAACAGTAAAATTAGCACATAACGCTGAAAGAAAAGCTTCTGCCTAGTATGTTTGCCCCCTTAAGCAAGGTAAACAAAACTGTGCACCTAAACACATGACATTGGGTTTCAAAGCAGGACCCAGACAGTCTAGAGGCATACAACGAAAGTCAGAATTTACAACACTCAGGCAAAAAATAGATGGACACTTGGGGAAAAAAAAGCTGGGAGGCAGTAGTGAAAATGCACTTATCCAAATGGAATAAAAATCAGTCATGCCTCTCTAAATACAAGATTTATTATACTTACTACTTAGCTGAATTCTACACTTTATTTTGGTGGAGCTTATAAGCACTAATGTTAACCCATCCAACAGAAAAAAAGCTGAATGACATTTTCTAGTTCATATGCTGTTTTTGTTAGACAGCTCAGTATGAGCTGCTCAGATGAAAAACACTGGTTCTGCACTTACTGCTCTAAGAAAATCACCATGTTTAGCTGAAAGAATACTCTGTGACAGCTCTTCAAGAGCAACTCTAAAATACCTAACCTCAAAGCACCAACATGGGGGAGAGGGGGAAATCTTCAAATCACCCACCACAGATATACTTCAGCTTCTTACACTAAGTGGGGACTGGGCAAGGGAAAATAACATGTAGTGGATCTGGAAATAAGCTTAGAGATGCCCCATAGCCAGAGTGGAGTTATGTATGGTCAGACAAAACATTTGTCACAAAGGCAAAAGAAGACAGTGACAATGATACAAAGGGCAAAGCAACATAGCACAGGAAAGGCTAATTACTTAATACACATTTCAAAGCTAAAACCAAAATTGGCCATCTTCAGCAACTACTATGACTCTGTTCATGAAACAAATGTAAATTGTACCCCATGGTCCCATTTCAGCACAGCCAGCCAGAAAGGAAAGGGGACTTTGCAAGAGGGCTAATCAGAGGAGGACACTGGATAAAAACGAAGAGAGTTTTTATTCATGGCTTAGTCAACTTTACGGACAGGAAAGAAAGAGGAAGCATTTAAAAAAAATAATTTGGACAAGAAGCAGATTTGGCAAGAAACTAGATGCAGGAATAGATGCAAGTGGTAACTGAAAATGCACTGAAGCTGGAAGCTTGGAGACCAGAATACCAGATGGTAATGAGCACGCTACTACTTCTGGACTATTAAAATCTATAATCAAAACACTGAGCAAGAAGATGTGAAGTGTTTGTTTTTTGCCTCCTTTCTATCACCAATGTAAAAACTTCTACTTAATAGAAACAACAAAACATTTCTCAAAGTTAAATTTAATTCTTGAAATTCCACAACTAATCAAAAGTGTTATGAAGCTGATAGTGAAGTTGGTGTAATGGGGTTACTTCCTGATCATCCATGCAGATCTATTATTAGTGCTAAATGAAAGCAAGAATGGCTTACTCAAATATAGCAGAGATGCTTCTCTTCAGAAGACTTGCTGTCCAAGAGAAGATATTCACATTTAACATCAGATGCACCCCTGCCTACCACACACGTAGAGTAAGATTTTCTTCCCAACCATCACTATTTTCTTCATTTTAAAAAAAAGCCTTTTAAAAATTCTAACTCCTGTACCAAATCAGGAGGTTAAGAATTAAGAAAAAGCCCTCTCAAATCTTAGAATGGCACACTACAGACCGAACACATGCACTTTTCAACAATAAGCTTAATAAAACATAGATCAGGAAGGGAGAAACAGAAGTGAGAATGGGAGACACCCAGGTGTGAACAACAAAAAAAAAAAAGTGACAAAGGATTAAACAAACAGACATTGTCAGTTCATTTACACTGGGCATATACTATAGGTCTTTAAAATAAGTTAAAAAAAAAAAATAGATGTTTGATCAAGCAAAGTGTCCCAAGAAAGTAACAAACAGAGGAATGGCATCAAACTACCAACAGAATCAAGGCTTAAGGAATGCTTTGGAAGAGGGCGAGTGGCTTAAAAAGGGGGTTCAGAGTTTTTTTCTGACGAGATAACTAGAAACGCTGCAAGGCTGACAAAACCAAGGGTAAAAGTCCGAACTCAATTTAAAGCCATTTTGAAATACCACATTCAGATTTAGAAGCTTCTCTGACTTTTAGGATGCATGACAAGTTGGGGGGGGGTTGTCTCAACTTTATAGGAGGTTGCAAGACAGCTAACCAAAGCCAGTTCCTGAATTTTAGACTCAAAATTTTTTAACTGTGACCCTAATTAAAATGTTGGACTGAAAAAACAGTGGAAGAGGGAACAGTAGTCAGCAATGACTGCAATGCTGGAATACCAAATTTGACTCTGGTTAACCTAGGATAAACTGAATAAGAAAAAGTGAATTTTTTAAAAGCAAAAAAGGTAAAGGCTAATC